ACAGCAGGACAGAGAGCTCCATCATCAGGAGGAACATCCCCAGTCCCAGTGACAGCCCCAGTGCCCTCATCGCATGGGCACAGCTTTGATACTGCCACCAACACACAGCGATGGCCATCTGTCCCACGCCACCCACACAGACTGACGGCCACCTGTCCGATCTCTCAGGGACAAATCGCAAAACCTCTGGACCCACAAGAGGAGCAAGCAGCTGGTTTCATCTGTGAATGAGCCCATGAACTCTCCTGTCCAATGCAGGTGTTTCCAGCAAGTTCTTTTCAGCTACTTCTTGTTCATCCCTGAACCCCAGATTTCACGCTTATGCCAAAAATAAAAAATATCTCTCTGTGAAGTTAAAGTAAACAGAGAATTTGCCCAGCCCTACAGGATCTATCTCAGCTTCTCCTCTGGGAGGACACTGTGGGGAAACAAGTTCATCCATCTTGGTTCTCATTGACACAGAATGGAGAAAAACAATCAAATGGGAGACCCAGCCTAAAGCTGAGAACAAAGACACCGCACCAATATTTCAGGTCTTTTTCCTTCACTCTGAAGGGGAAAAAAATTGCTCCGTGCTTCATCCCTTGCAGGTTATCTTTGGAGGAACAATGTCCCCATAATTTCTGCTGACAATTAACCTCGCCTGTGCAGCAATTCTTCCCTGGGTCACCAGAGCAGCTATTTATACCCTTGGCCAGGAATGGTGTTGCTACCAACCAACTGCCCTTCCCCTTGCCCAGCTCCACCAAGGCTGTGGCAGCGAGCCCCAGGGTGTCCCCATGCACCCCACCCTGCTCGCCAGGACCCACTTCATCTGGGCCCTTAGAGCACAGACCCTCCACCATCCATTTGCTACACAGGCTTTGTGAACACACAGAAGAAAACCAGACGTACGTGTTGTTTAAACACTCCCATGCACATGGGTGACCAAGCGCACAGGGTTGGGATGTCTGGGGTTATGGTCTCCAGGACCTCCCATGAGCTGGTCTCCAGAGGACTGGGGCAGAAATAGGATTTGCCTTGATCACCTCTGCAGCACGTGGGTAATGCCGATTCCCCCATGCGCTGGAGCGCTGGCAGAGACACCGATGGCTCACCCGAGTACCTGCACTTCTTCTGAGCCAAAACCAGAGCTCCGGTTGTGCTGGGAACTGGACTACATACCTCAAAATGAAACTCTGGACCTGGGCTGCTGCCAGCTGGACTCTTTGGCCACACAGAGCAGGATTTCAGAGGCCAAGTCAAGCCAGTCGTGAGCTGGAGCCCAGCCAGCAGCTGGGGCAGGGGCGGATTGTACCCATGCGTAGGCGGGAGCCCAGCCAGCAGCTGGGGCAGTGGCAGCTTCTCCTCCCAAGGCCCCAAGCATGGGCCAGCCCAACACCATCAGTGCTGAACAAACACATTGAACCAGCTCTGCCAAAACCAGCTATCTTTACTGAGGGAGCCACCCTGGGAAAAGATCAGCACCCTTGGGTGAAGGTCTCCAGACCCACTGGTCCCATCAGAGGCTGCAGGCCAGCACCTCAAGCCTTGCACAGTCCTGCGATGTCCGTGCTCTCCATCTCCTCCATCCTGCCCCTACTGCAGGGTTAATGTGGGCCCGGAGCTGGGCTGAAAACCCAACCCATCACCCATGCCAAGCCCAGGGCAGGCTGCAGTATGGCAGGGGCAAGGGTGAGGAACGCTCCAGCCTCCAGGATGCAGGGAGATAAACGGCCAACGTCATCTTCATTATCAGTGGCGCCCAACCTTTGTGATGAACGGCGAGGAGGAAGAGCTTTGCCTGGCCCTGGAAGGAAGGGGAGAGATAGAGAGGGCGGCACCGCTGTGATGGGAAGGGGTGGGAGGATGAGGTCTGCTGAGTGCCCACCCTTGTCCATCCCCTTGAAGACCCCTTGCCCTGGAGCATTGCCTCCAACATCTCCATCCCCACTCTGGTCCCCAGCGCGGTGCCAGGCAGGGGGCTTGTACCTGAGTTAACGACGGGACACGTGACCAAGGACACATCCAGGGCCTCCTGGAGTGACCCTGGGACCTGCCAGAAGCAGCATGCTTCTGAAGTGATTTATTTCTCACCAGGGTTAGGGGGGGTGAGGCCCATTAGTCAGGAGGGACAGCATCGTGCTTCCCGTCACCTCAGCCTCTCCCTCCAGCACACCAGGAGCTTTGGGCCCCGGCCCACGCCCCCAGGGGTGCGTCTGTCCGCAGCATCCCCAGCCAGGACTTCCCAAGAAATCAGCACTAATGAGTCACGGGGGCTAAATGACATTATTTAAGGTACCAGCAAAGCTTTCAGGCTCCCGCCCTGCCTTCTTCAGCCCGGGGATCACACACCAGCAGTGGTCTCCATCCCCCACGCACACCCTGAGCTGCTCCCCAGTGACTGGCCCCATCTGCCCCAGGGACACGGGTCAGATGCCTCGGCATGGGGGCAGGATCCAGCCCAGGAGGTTTTCCAGAGCCTTCTCCGAGGTTTTCTAGTGCCTTTCCAGAAATTTCTGGAGGTTTCCTGGCCCTTTCATGGAATTTTTTCTAGTCTTGCTCAAGGTTTTCTGCTGTATCTCCAGAACATTTCTAGACCATTCCTAGAGGTTTAGTTGACCTCTCCTGGGGCTCTTACAGCCTCTTCACATGTTTTTTTCGGTTTTGGGTTTTTGGTTTTTTTGGGGGTTTTTTTTGTTTGTTTGTTTTTTTACAGGTTGGCCATTTCCAAGTTTCCCAAGTGGCACCTTGGCAATGGACTGAAGCTCAGCACCTCAGCCAAGCACCTCAGGGGTCACAGAGCAGCACCCTCAGCAGCCTGATCAGTTAACTGAAAAAAGACGTAGAGGATAGAAAAAAAAATATATTCGCATGTATGGGAGCAGGAAAACAGAGCAGCCGTGGGGGAAGGCCAAGACAGTGGATGCTTTTCTGCGTGTGTTCTCAACCCTAAACCACGCAGTTCCCATGTGCCTTTACACATGAGCAGCAGAACCAGGGAAGCGAGGACAGGCCAGTTCCCAGACGTCCCTCCTGGTGTCCCCAGCCTGGCACACATGGCCTTTTTCTTCCACAGCCACCAAAAGCTCCTGTAAAAATCTGACTGCTCGAGTGTAACCTTACCATGGGGCCCCGGAGTAGCAGCTCAGAAATCAGTTTGGGGCTATCTGAGGTTTTTACATTTGCTTGTGCCAAGGGAGCTCTGGGAAACATCAGTGCCAGAGGCAGGAGTGGTCTTACAGGCACAAGAAAATCATTTAGCACAAGAACCAAGGCTCCTGGATGGTGCCCCAGGCAGTACACGGCTCAGTGGGAGCTGCTCCGTGCACAGATTCACAGTCACACCAAAAACCAAACCTGCAGCAAGCGCCAGGAATATACTGGCTCCCCTGAACCGTCTGTTACAGCATGAAGGGTTCAGCAAAAAGCCCCGTGAATAGAAGCAGGCTGTTCACAGCTCAGCCAAGCTATCAATAGAGGACTTCAGCTCTAAGCCTGTTCTTCCCAGCATTTCTACTCGGACTCCAGCAATCTCCCAGCAATAGCTGGCTGTCCAGCAGGTTGCTGAATGACCTGAAATGATTTATTTTTTCTCCTCCTCCCAGTGTCCTCCCCTCAGCACGGTATTTTGTAAGATGACACAAGGCATTACCGACAGATTACTGGAAAAACACCACACACCACACCGGCCAGCATCAGCAGAGCACGCAGGAGTGAGGGACACAGGCACCCATTCCACAGAACGGGATTCCAGCACCAGGAAGACTTGCACAACGTACACTTGTCCAGCTTCTGTTTCTTGCACCACAATACCAGGTCTCACTTTGAATGACCGTGGGACTGGAGCAGTGATTCCCTCTTTTTTCCCAGTTTTACTGACAGTAGTGTTGTCTGTAGCCATTTCAGGTTCATTCTTGGCTCTGCTCCATGGGAGAACAGATCTGGATCATGCTGAGAACGGTGAACTCTGACCCCTTACTGAGATAACATTTCAACTTCAGGGACTACTGACTGAAGCCTAGGACTCAGAATTGGCTTTCAGTCCCATACCTCTGCTCTGTATTTCTTAAACTTTGCAGAGAACAAAGGCAGACTATTCTATTGCTATAGTAACATTCACCAAAATAAACCATCTGCTGGAAAAGCTCCCAGGCACTACATGCAAGATTTGTCTTCCATTATGACCAATGCACATGAGTTTGCGGTATGTTCACATGGAGCAAACCATTCCCAACATACAGACAATAAAAACCTCATTCTGTTTAAGTGCTGTTCCAAATGATGGAGCTTCCCCCAGCATCTGGCGTACAGCTGGCCAGGGCTGCTCGCCGCTGACGCGCCCTTTGAAGCATTACAGCCTGACAGGTGAAGGGGCGGCTGGGCCGACAGTGAAAAGTCGAGCCGCATTCTTTCCTTCTGACTGCTGCTCATTCCATACCTCTGACTGTAAGCCCCCCCTTGGCTAACTATGCACATCCGTGCAACAATTCGCATGTCTGGATTCACCCCATCTAGGCCTGCGATGTGTTTCTAGCTGCCTGCTCGCTTCAGCTATTATGCTCATATTTGGTGAAAACATACAGAAAAAAAAAAAAAAAGGGATTCTGTGAAACAAGAAGAAACATGCCTCATTTCCCCACCCCTAACACCCAGAGCCCCTCTGTCAGCCCCATGCGATTATCAGAATGAGGAAGGGGAAGATCAGTGCAAAGTCGGTATCGCAGAGGTAGTTTGGAAGCAGACCTCAGTTGGGCAGCTGCTGGCAGCTAGAGACTTGCCCTCGCTGCAGCACCAGTGCCACGGCTGGCCAGGCTGGAGTTGGTGACCTTGCTCAGCCTCAACGACTGCTAGAGAAAGCAGAGATGTGCACAGAGCCCAACGGCTCTACAGAGGAGCAGAGCCCATCAAGCTTTGCTGGAGGAAGATACATGACTTGGGTCTAGTTTTTAACATTTGGGGTAAGCTGAAAAGAAGGTTGTTAAGCTTTTTTTTTTTTAACCAGCAAATTTTCTGTCAAGAGTTTTTAATATATTTATTTGAAAACAAGGTTTTGTGAAAGAGTACACTAAATAGCATATATCTGTTCTTCAGCCATAAAACACGGACTATCAGCTTTAGCTCAGCACAGGTTGGGGCTGCATGCACTGAACAGCAGATCTCGATAGGAAGGTCGTCACATCTGTCTTTCTGATATCAAGCATAATGTCTTCTTTAGAGGACACGATCCTGGAGGGAGGGGAGAGAGAAACCAGAAAAGCAAACGTATTGAACAAAGGCTTCTTGTGGTTGGCCCCACACACTCACCCGAGCCTGCCCACTGACGCAACATTTACAGTTTTTCGCAAGGAGTTTGTTTTCCTGCCCATCCACTGATTCAAGTGTATAATCTTTGCTCTTGGGAGCACTGGGACATGCCAGCCCATATTTGGAAATAAAGCAACTGGGTTTCTGCCTCTCAGTGAGAAACTTGCACATCAGTTCAGGCAGTGTAACCCAGGAACCTGAGAACCGCACCAGTCGCTGCCTGGAGCAGACCTGCAAGTGTCGTTCCGTTGAGCTCAGAGAGCACCCCAGAGCCCACGACTGGACTGTCTTTAAATTCTGCCAAGAACTGCTGGGAAGACAAGACAACCCCAGAAAGCAGAGTAGCTCTCTTTCGACCAATCCTGCCACGCAGAGGTCAAGTAGATGACAGCTTTGTTACATAAACCACTTGCCCCTCTGGGATCATCCTTCATGAGCTGATTATTCCCAGCTCAGCTGTCGCCTGTGACCCCACGCACTGCTCTAACTCTGCCCAGCGAGGCTCTGCTTAAGCCTAGCCAAGCCTGCGAGATTAGAGACCAGATCCAGTTCGACTGGGTCAGACCGGATCTGGAAGAGCAGATTTCTTTTTTATTGGTGCCAAACTCTTCCAGTCATGACAGCGCATGTTTCTGAATCTGGCGCAGAAGCTGTCCAAGAGCTAAAGCAAGAGTGCTGGGTGCTCGGAACTGATTCAGTGGATCCAAAGAGGCTGTTCCTGCATTGGGATTAATAAGGTGACTCTGCACGCTACACTGTACCTCAGGTCTTAATCATCAATGTACTCAAAGGGCTCTGGTGGTTCAGGTTCCTGCTCCTCTTCCTCGATCTTTGGACCGTGAGCTGCCACGGGTTCAACCAGCTCCTCCATATCCTCACTGGTGTCCTTCAGAATGATGATGCCTCCAATGGAGAGCTGCAAGACAAGAGCAGAGAGCATCAGAGCCGCTCAGCTCTGCCTCCTGGTGCGGTGTTTGTGGCCACAGCATTTATCCTAAGCCACATGAGACACCTCAGCAGAGTCAGTTTCAGAGAGCCAAGCGTCTGACACCCACCTGGATCCCTGCCTGGTAAGGGCATGGAACAGAGCCCACCCCAGCTGCCTTTTGTACTTCCACTATCTAAGTCTCAGTTCGATAGAAAACGGCATCTGGATTCACAGCTTTATCCCAGTCCCAGTCTGGGGCTTTCCACTTGAAAACTAATTGAACCATAATTGCTTTACAAGGCTCATCTTGTCAGGGCAACAAAGCATAGTGGAGCCTCTCTGTGTAGCCACCTCCCAGGAGGCTCTCTGAAACAGAGACTAATCTCATCACCAGCTTCCACCAACTGAGGAATACTATTAGCAGAGCCTTGGAAAACAAAGCAGAATTAATTACAAAGATCATAACCAAACATCCAGGACTGAAACACGAGGTGTGAAGAGGCAGTGCTGTGTCATGCCTGGCTGGGATCAGAGCTTTGACCACAGCAGGATTCCAGGCTATAAACAGCATTTCAAAGAAGCCTTTTAGCCTGGCATTCCCCAAAGCAGAGCAAAGCTCCAGAACAGCTCCATTTTAAGAGCGTCCTTGGTCACACACCCTAAAACCCAGCAAAAAACCTGCACTGTTCTCTTCTCTTCCAAACACCTTTATAGGGGGGTTAAGTCAGGAAACAGCACTCCCCTCACCAAGGACTCAGCTTCTTTTGAAACTGAAGCAAACAACTACACACGTCCACATTTCAGCTGCATGAGTGAACATTTACTGGACCATGTAGCAGATCTTCCCAATTCAAATACCAGTTGGGTCACCTCTGCTTTTTTTAAAGCATAGAAACTGAAAAATCCTTCCACAGCTTTGCTAAAAGAGACGTTTCAAAAGGGGACGATGCACACAGAATTCCAATGTACTGATGGGATTCCAGGAAATCCATTTATTAAAAACATAACTATTTTACTGGAAAAAATATTACTTCTTCTGAACACTGTTTTCCCATGCATGATCTTGCAAAAGGGGAAGTCAAGAACAAAAATAAAGGCCAGAAGAATTTGACTCAGGAGATTTAGAGGTTAGGAGCAAGCTTATTAGCTTTCCAATATATCTGAGCATCTCACAGAAAAGTTAGTTACCCCCTTGGGCTAATGCTAAAAGGTCTTTTTCATTCTCCACCTGACAGTAATATGCTATCTCTTCTCTACCCTAACAGGAGATAAAGGCACACTTCTAAGGTCAGATGTAACTGAATAAGTAATCTGTTTAATGAAAAGAAAAAACCCTCCATTTAAGGGTAAATGCCACTGCAGAGTCTTAAAGCCCCACCACAAGTCCTGGGGTATTTCATTGCTTTGACATGAGCCTGGACAACTTCTCAACCCATTGTAAAGACAATTGCTCAGCTCTTATGTCCCCAGCAATGTCATTAATACAGAGTATGTCTGACTGATTTCCAGGTTGCACCATTTGGCATATGTAGAAGAAGAATGAAAAGTAAAGCAGCATTAGCATAGTGAAAAGCTTTGGAGCAGCTCTGGATTTCCCCCAACTAGAGCTGCCTGTGATCATTTGGACAAAGGGACGTGAAAAAGCAAATGTGACAACAGTGAAACTGAAAATCTCTAAAACACATCGCAGTGATGCACCAGCTGTGAGTGGCATTCATGTACACCCAGAGCTGCTGGGTCCTTACACACAAGCCCAGCACTGGGAACGCTCTGTCAGGTGTGGACTAGGAAAGCGACACTTACTGGTTTGAAAGGCTGGTACCGGCAGCTCTCTGTCATAGTGAGAACTTTGAGCTGAGCGGGCATGACTCTGGCCGGGTTGTCCAGAAGCTGGAAGTTGGGTTCAGGCTCCTTTTTCTTTTCTTTTTCATCCTTCTTTTCAGTCTCATCCTGTAGAAGGGGAGGAGAACATCAACATGGTTTTAACACTGGTCTCTAACCCTTTCACACTTCAGGAGGGTAAGGTACCGCCTGCTACTCTTAGGCAGCAATTCCAGACCATGGTGAGAAGCCATCCTCCCGCTGAGGAACAAGCTAACACGTATCTATCAGTTGGCACAGGCAATGCCAGTGTGCATCTAAGTACTTGCTCTTAACTGCAGGTGAGAAAAGTTCAAGAGGGGGCAGTGGAAAAGTCTACCCTGGCTTCCCCTTCTAATGCTTCCTCTGTAAAGTCACCACTTTTTGTTCACAGATGAAGATTCTTCAAAATCATTACTAAGCACATGAAAATTGCCAGAAGCTGCTGTTGTATTTTCGCAGCTATACAGCTGTCACTGACAGCAGCTCAACCAAAACAACTGGACCTCAATGACTCCCTAGGGAACTGGAGTTAAACCCTCTTCTACCAATGACTCAGCAGCTGGAGGCAAAAGCTCAGAAGAAAAAAAAAAAAAACCCAAACCGCAACATCTTTTACATACTTAAGAACATGGATCATGTTTCCCCTTTGGTTGGGAACATCTGAGTTGCAAACAAACGACTGCAGGAAAGATGGAAACAAGCAACAGGGAACGATCAGGAATAGCAGTGAACGCATGGCACGTCCTGGAACAGCAGACGGGACTTTCTCTGGCACAGTGAGTGGCTGTCGCCGTGCAGATGAAGCTATGGAGTACTAGTCATATCACAAGCATAAAAGAGAAACAGGAAAGCAATTACACCTCTAAACCATCAGGACAATGGCAAAACACTCGACACGAACACAGCAGGTGGCAGCAAGCTCCCTTTTTACTATCCTCGTTTTTCTGCTCAATTCAGCCAAGAAAACTTTTCAGACATTTCAGACCTCTGGAGCATACGCACACGCAGACATGATAAGTGAATCCCTTCTAATATATCACTCCCTCTCAACACCTGTACTTAACTGTAGGTTGTTGCAATTTTAGAATAAATAAGCATCTGTCCAGCACATTTAGCTTAGTATATATAGTGCTGTAAGAATAATACCAAGAAAAGGCAACGTTTGATGACAGGAGACATGAAGCAGCAAAAAGACAAAACCCAGAGATTCTACCTTGCGTGCATGAGATGATTCATTTTCTGGGCCAACTGTATAAAGTTCACTGCCTACAACACGGCTGCACTTAGGTAGGTCTGGGAAGGTGTTTTTACACATAGGTGTTTGATCTCAGGCCACAGTCCTTTCACCTACCATTTGTGTGTTTGGCTTTAAAATGAAAGAGGCCAAAAATTCCCTGCCCACTCTGCTTTTCTCACATAAATGTTGAAGTGGAATCTATGTAGTTGTTCTTGGCATATTTACATCTGTTAGCAGAGCACAAAGGAAGGGTCCTTTGTCAGGGTACAGCAAGAATTTTAGCTGCTATATGGTTTCCAAATTACAGCAATCACCAAAAATTCCTTCTCCAGCCATTTCTCTATCCCTCAGCTGGCTCCAGGATGACACGCTACTCACAGCTGCGGATGCCAAGTTCCAGCGTCAGGTCTATGAGCTGAAAGAAATCATCAGAGGACCACAGCAATCACCGTAACTCCTGAGCAGCGGATGGATCCTGTGCTCAACGCTCAGCTGGTTCTGAGCTGTGGATAAATGTTTGGCATTTTGATAGATGTGCAAAGCACATAAGAGACTGCTGCCAAAAAGGTGAACATTTCAGAATAGGGGGTTAAGCACTTTCAAAAGCAGGAAGTTCGAACTCTTCAATGCTCTCAACTGAATTAGACACCAGCAAGCAGCCGCTACAACACTGAGTCGTTTTTAAAAGGTCAGAGGCACTAAGGACATGAGATTATTAAGGCTTTTTCCACGTTAATGAGAAAGGTACATGGATAAGAGATAAAATTCCCTTGGTCTAAAAACAGTAGGCAATAAAATAATGCACAAAAGGTTCATGTGGTTAAAGGCACATAAATTTGTCAAAACAAGCTTTTGCCTTTAAGGAAGTCATTTACTTAACAATACTGAGGAAGATTTATTTCTCAGAAATAATGGATTCATAAATAATAGCACCTCTTGCTTGCAGAGTAAAGACACTAATAAGTGTAAGCAGTACGCTGGAATGTGTATTAACGCTTTGCTCGTAACACAGGTGGCAGGAGGGACAGGGTTAAGTGGTGCCAACTTTCGTGACACACCTTCCACATTGATAAGGGGGGGGGAAGAAGACATTTAAGTTTTAATGTTTGCACCCACCACTTCCATCTTCTCCTCTTCCTTCTTCTCTTTCTCCTTCTCCTTCTCCTTCTTCTTGGCTTTTGCAGTGATGGACAGCACGGCAGTGGAAACCTGGAAAGGTCAACAGAGGCAGCATTCAGCGTGACTGCCACCCTGTACGCTGTGCTTCAGCTCCCCAGGCAGGGGAACAAAGGGAAATCAGTGTCAGGTCAGTTCTCAGTGTGTGTGTCAATAAAATCAATTCCACTCCATACCCACTGCTCTGTTTAAGAGACAAACACACCACTGTCAAAGCAAATAAATAGCACAGATGGGACAAAAAAATGCCATGAATGCAGACTGGATCCAGCCACATATGAAGGAGGAGAGCAAACTTCCTAATTTAGAGATTAATCATTACTCTCTGTGTCTCTAGATGAGAGGTTTGTTTGTTTATTTTTAACAGAGCAACAAATGGAATTCTTGTTACAGGAAAACCTGTTGCCAGAGTATCCAAGGTAAAGAAACATATATATAGATACTCTTTAGAAAAATACCTAAAGCTGTTCCACTGTCCTCACCAGACAGCTGTGTTTCTCACTGATCTAAAGAAGTGGATATACATAATGCCCTGTGGAGGAGGCTCAGGAGGCTTTGGCACTCCTGAGCCAGAAAATACCCAGAAGCAAGACTCGAATAAAAGAATTCAGCACATCTCCCTTCCAGTGAGTACATCTCTCTGTCCACAGGAACTGTCTCTGTAAGGCAGTAACCTGCCTAGAGAGACCAGGAGCAACCACATTTGTCATGTTGCTGGTGAGGCTTCCTAGGCTATGAGTGGGCTCATGGCACATTTTAATTTCAGCCAGGGAAGTTGAAAAGAGGAAAGATTTGTAAAATTCCCATCCTATTTCAAAGGTGAGAAAGTAGCAATGAGCAGTGAGCTTTGCCTTTCATCAGAGTTCATTTCTGGGTTCCTCGGTGGCTTGGAAATCTGTCCTGTGCAGCATTCAATTCTGGTAAAATGTTTTACAGTTTTCACACAATGTCATTCATCAGCGTGACATGCCCGAGGTCTCTACTGCTGCATTGCTCTCCAAGGGCTGCCCCTCCTGCTGCTGGGGTCTGCTCAACAGCTTTCACCATCTTACGCCAGGAGACAAATTGCTTCCACTATTGTCCCGCTTTCCATCCCCATAGGTCTCATCTCTTCTTTTTCAATACCTAGATATTCTCAGTTCCACACTTACCTTTTGCAATCCATGGGCCTGACAGCTATTATTCTAGAATATGGGCCCACTGTACGCTTTTGTCTTTCCATATGGGAGGGACTATTTGAGAAGTGTCACATTTTACATTCTCACCGTTTGTACTGCAGCAGCATTTTGAAGCCCAAGTCGGACAAGAACCCCGTTGTGCTTGGTGCTGCACAAAGATGATACACGTACAATTCAGCAGGGCGTGGAAAAAAGTTTTATTCATCAATGCTTCTGCTTGATCACTGGAGACAAGGGAGGTTCCAGCAACTCAGTAGCACAGCAGTTGTATGCCACGATCAGCCCCAAGCACAGCAGGAAAGAACAGCTAGAATTCTCTTTCAGAGACAATACCGCCCACCAATTTTTCTTTTCCCTTTATATTCCCTGTTAGTGCCACCAAAGTCAATGTTTGTATTAGGAGGGAGAAGGGGTTAGTCTTTACAACACAGAAAGCTAGCCCAAATACCTTTTCTTTCTCCTTTTCCTTTGGTACCTCAAGAGGTGGGGGGTAGGCAAATGTGGACGGCTTACAGTTGGACTTGTACTGGACTTTTGGCATCTAAGACAAACAGTTCAAAAATTGTTAGAGACGAGAAAAGCAGGGGGGAAAAAAAATCCACAGCAGAATAATTACTTTAGCTTCATTTTCCTTCCAGCAGAGACAAACACAGATCCTCTAAAGAATACAAGCTTCCCCTTCTCCCCCTCCGGAAGCTGAGAAACTGTTATCAGTGGCAACAGTTCAACTAGAACAATGTTATTTAATTATTCTATAATTTGACTCTGGCAAGCTCTCCTAGCCTTCTCTGTACACTCCACGCTATTCACACCATGCTTTGTTTTCATTTTTTCAAAGATTTTGTGGTTTTGACGTTGTTGCTCTGCCTGCTCGTATTAACACGAAATTGGTTTAAGATGGAAGCGAAGATCTGCTCTGTCAACGCACGCAAGGGCACCCCAAGCCCTGCCTGGCAGTCACCTCTTGCAAAAAAAGGACAGTACATGTTGGTGGCAGGCTACCAATTTCACATATTCTCTTACTCTTGGCTGCTTAAGCAAAGGCAGAAAGCATCTTTTGACAGCCAATCCACATTCTTAAACTGAATTAATTTCTGCAGTATCTCAACCCTCTTCCTTTAGGACACATCACGGAACAAGAAGAGAACAGGGACGGCTCTGAGGAAGCAAGGCGGGTGTGGTGCAGCCCGTAACGTACATCCAGCTTGTAGCTGGCTTTAGTATGCAAGCCAAGTTATACAACAGCCCATTTGGGCTCCTTCGAAACTCTCAGAGATGGGGAAAGGCAGAGAAAATGGCAGTACAGCCAAGCAGCCAAAAGGGTGCTGAGCTTATCACCACCTGGGTGCTGAGACAAGCAGCAATGCAGCCTCTGGTAAGTATTTAGGACTGGGAGGGGAAAAAAAAACCCAACTCATAAGGCATTTTTATGCAAACCCTCTGTCTTCAAACAGAGTGAGAGTTTTGAGCTGTGTATAGATTGACTTGATGGTTTGCCAAAGATGGGTGGAGAAGAGCAACCTAGAGCCGTAAGGTTTTGGTCCAGGGGCTGCCACAACGGATCAGCGGGAAGAACAGACGCAGAAGAAAAGTGCAGTACCCATGACTGCTTGGTTTAATGTTTACTCCCCAAGGAATCCACAGAAATCCTGTTTTCCCACTGCCAGCCTTCCTAGGGGAGAATATCACATGATTTATTTGGGAGCGCAGAGGGGTGACACTTTTTTTTTTTTAAATAACCTTGACCTTCTGGAGCGATAACAGGGTGGTCTCTGCCCACATAGGCTGGCTAGAGTTCCTTTCTAAGCTGCTTTGAAGTAAAGGGGCCAAAGTCCGCTCTCTACATTTTTCTTGTCCCTATTCCCACCACCAGCTCTGTAATTTGAGGCTGCTTTTCAGCCTTCTTCCCATTAGCGCCTTTTCTGGCACAAACAAACTGGAGATAAGCAACGAAAACCAACAAATCCACGCGCACCCCTCCCAGACCACTCTTCCGAGCAGCTCTCAGCACCTCTTTTCCTCTCTGCTCATTACATACCTTAAGATCCTTGTTAAGGCCAATGACACAGGTTGGGGTGAAAGCCAGCGACAAGAAGTGTGACAAGGGGAACCAGAACCAGAACTGGGTGAAGACCAGAACCCCCACCACGGAAGGCATGTGAGTATGTCCCGTCCTCGACTGCAGTGAAATAGTTACGTTATGGCCCCCTGTCAGGAATCACAAATGAAAGAAGTTAGTTAAGGTATTCCTGGGTACTCACAAAGACACCCGAGCAATGCACCTCTAAAACCGCTGCTGGGACGGGGGTACACAGCACAAGCCAGGCCACAATGCTGTCACCTTCCTCCTCTGGAATATGCCACTGGAAGCTCAGCTTACACAGCAAACCTGCTGGATATTACCCAAACACAGTCCGTGAATACAGCCCGTCCACGCTCATTTTGCCAGGTATAGGTTAAACAAAAGTACAGTTCAGAAGGTAGGGAGAGGGGGAGAAAAAGGCAAACCTTTGCCATAAGCAGTTTGAAAACACAACACAGAGATGATCCACAAGACAAGACACATAAGGGAAACCAGGCACACAAAGCAGTGCATACAGAAACCTTTCTTTCAGGGGCTGCCTCCCTGAACTCTCAATTATTCAGAAGAAATATGCCCAGGTTTTTATCCTACACCATCTCAGGAGAAAAAAATGTAAACAGCAGCAACTTCAGAAGTTGCTTCGAGAGGTTATCAATCTAAGCAGCCAAGAGACAAGCTCCTGCAGTCTTTGCAGCAAAATTACATCTCTGCCAGACAACCAGGCCTTAGCTTTGTACTTGCAAAGCAGAGACCAAAACAACTCCATATGTTGATGTAGTGCAGGAACATCCAGCTAGAAGCCAAATTGAAAGATTGGGCTTGCAGACAGAGCGAGAAAGTGTTAATCTGATCTTCAGTCTTCTGATGAACACAGTGATTGAGTTGAAGAGGGCACCAGGCAAGTCCATTACCGCTGCCAAGACCAGGTGCAGGGATGTTAACTTTGTTAAAATACAGACACCCACTCCTTGCAAACTCAGGGCGCTTTACAGCTGAAAATCCCAAACCGCAGTAGCATTCCTCTGCCTCGCACAACAGCCACCTCGATAGGGCCAGGCAGCAACGGAGCAAAAGTTATTTTTTGCTGCCAAAACTAATGAAAGCCCTGAATGAAGCTGTAACCTCATCTTAGGTACCTGTCAGTGTTAGTCCCAGGAGAAGCAGTGGAAGATGGAGGATTTTGATGCCCTCCTGTAGGATACTCTGCATACAGACTACCTTCTTGCTTTTCCTTTCATGGTAGCAATAGATCTCCTGCTGCTTGACTAGAGAACTTCTTCCAGCTGCCAATGACACAGTCTCATCTTTTACTGCTGCTAGGTCTGCTCTGCTTCTCGTTATTTTCTCTGATACCAATCTCTTCCCCTTATACTTGAATTTGCCACAGCATTAAGGAGAGACTGCTTGAGGTCTTGTGCTATCCTTAAGCATGTCAAACACCACACATTCAAATTCCTGGTCTTCTCCATCTTTACCTTAAACTTTTCTTCACTGCATCACTGTATAAGGGTCAGGTCGGTAATCTGCAGATATTCTGGATCAAGCAGCCCAGTGAATGTTGTACAAGCGGCTTAACTACACTTTATCAAACTTCTGTACTTTAATTTTCAGTATTTTAACCTTTCGAATTATATTATCCAATCTTTGGAATTTCCTGGATGAGTAGCAGATTTCATATTCAAAAGATGCCGTCATGCTCCTTTTTTTCTGCTTTTTTACATCCCCAGAAAGCCCACCCTCCCTCCCAGGGTTTTGCAAGGAACAGGAAAGGTGGGGAGACACGATTGCACAACTCTGATTTATCTTCATGATTAAGTAGCAGCCCTGACAACCTGGAAGGGAACACATTCCAGATCTTTGCCTAGATGGATGAAAGCTGTGACATGATGCCTGGAAAAAAATAAAAGAATTCATAAAACACATTCAGCACCAGGCACCCAACAGCTTCTTTGGTTTCAGTCTGCACTGCCCGGTGCTACAACCTGTCCCCAACCCACTGCACCGCTGACCCCACTCAAACCCTTCCTACATATAGCGAAAAGGATTTTCTAGATATACTACACAGATATTTGTGTAGTGATGGCTGCTCCTCTTTTCCCACTGACTGAGAAATGTGACATTAATAACCAGAGAAGATACCCAGAGCCCAGAGAGCAAAATAGTTTTCAAGCAGGTAGATGCTGACATCTAATTACATCAGTATATCCCTTCTGTAGCTCACATTTACAGATACATACTCCAGAAAATAAAGCATATTGATTTTGCAAAGAACAGAAAGGGAGTCACCAGCCTGGAGAGCATGTCTGCACACGAAGGGGAGCATTATAAAAGTTCAGAGGCTTTCCGGGGGAAAAAAAAAAATCTCTAAGCTAAATTTAGAGTGCCTACATTTTTCTTATTTTATTAAAGAAGTAAAAATGTAGCTGCTGGAGCCCAACAATTAGACAATGACCACATCCTTCATTTCCACTTCAGTGCTCCCAAGGTACTCTGCTCCTTCCATGAAACCATCAGAAAACCCACCTTCAGTGCCTCACCTTCCCAGTCACACTGGAAATCTCACACTTTTAATCAAAGCATGTAATTGCAAGAGAATTATACTTTTCTCCTACAAACTAAATTGCCCCAAGTGTGGTAGATGACACAAAGAACCTTTGCTTCCTGGTACTGATAATTAAATTCTATAGCTCATTGTTTCAGATAAGTGCTTGTAGTTGTATGGGAGAGATAAAAATAATTTATTATTTTAAGAGGCTCTAATGAAAGTGGCAACAGGCTAAGAAAGGGTAGTTCACAGTCTTCCCCCAGCAGCACAGCAGGAAATAAAGAGGTTAAAGTTGGCACAAATTCACATGTAGTTTATTAAAACTTGGATGCTTCTGGTTTTCATGTCATTATACAATACATGAGTGACACAGGAAGCAAATAAGGTTTCAGCTGCATTTTTATGACTTAATCTTAAAGGTATGAATTCAAAGCAGGTCTGTACTGCTGAGAGAAAAATCTCTTTGAGCTGGGTTCTGGCTTCCCAGGAACACAGTCTGAGTCTGGGAATGACCACAGTTATTGTGCCAAGAATATTGCCCAGTCTGAGCTCCCGGAGGGGTACCTTGGAGGCAAGACAGATAAGGTGGTTCCTGTTGCTTCCTTCTCTGGGTAGAGCACACAGCAGCCTGTCTGCCGCATGCCCACCAAGAAGAAAGCTTTTGAAGCACGCTTCCACACAGATAGGTGCAGGCAGCCCTAGTTTTTCTCCCCTCACCAGCCACATGGCTTGGAGATGGAGTGTTTCATACAGACTCCGTGTAACCACAGCACACGGTGCTGTGCTTACATCCATGCCGCAGGCAAACATACGAGACTCCTTTGCTTACGTGACTTCAGGACTAACCTTGAGGTCAGCGTCCAGGGAAAACCAGCTTTTTCTACCTACCACAGGGAGTAAGGAGGTGCATGGCATGAAAGGGCCACAGCATGAGAGACCAAATGGGAGAAACTGTGTTTGGAAACTTGGGAAGGGGGTGCTAGCAATGCATGCAGCACTGCACAAGCCTTAATTCCATTAAAAGGAAAAATTCAAAACCAAACATTGTCTGACCTCTTTGCTTACAGAAACGTTCCTGAATAGGAGCTGGATATTCAGTCCTTGTGAAACGCTAATGCCTTTAGAGAGTCCTCCTCAACATTCAGTCATTAACGCTTGTGAGATGATGTTTCCTACACTAGAACAACGCAGTAGCCTGTGAAACTGAGTCTTCTGAAGTAACACTGGTGCAGTTATCTGTGCTTCCCTCCTTGTGCAACACCTCTCTTAATAATCAGGAAAGATGCAAAACCTAGTTATTAAACGATTAAATACATATTTAATGTATTTTTTGTAAACTGGTTAGGTCAGGTGTTAACAGAAAAAATATGAGAGCTGGATACCAGAAGGTTTCCAAATTTCTGGAGCAGTTGCTTACTTTAAAAAATAAAGCAGCAACCTATCGTGCTATAAATTAACCTTCAGGGTAACAAAACAGACTTAGAGCAAGAAGATCGTATTTGTCCAGACTTCTGGACAAGAATTCTGCCCCAATGACTAGGTTGAGTCGCTCCTGACCAAAGCACACTGACAGAAGCTGAAACTACAAAACAGGGTTTATTTCTTTAATTAGATAAAATGACTTGAAATTACAGATTTCTTGTTATTATTACATGACAAGCGTAAAGACAGCACCTCATCTCCCAAATGAAAGTTGCTATTACAGCTATTACAGCCAAGTAAGTTCAAGGAATTTTCACTGCTTTAAATGACTGAGGAATTACCTGCATCCAAAATGCCTTGTGCCAGGATTGCTCCAAACTTTGCCATAACATCATCGTGCTTATCATTGATCACTTTGGAATACAGCTGTCTGAACTGGCTGACCTGGATAAAAAAATAAAAAGAGAGAAAGAATATAAAACTGACTGCATGAGTCAAATATTCTGTCTTTACTGGAAGCATCCTGTATTTCTGCATCCTAGGATGACATTTATCTTTCCAATGGCTTTAGTCACTGGTGTTACAAGTCATCCACTACTAATTAATTACAGAGGCTCTCCCCACTTGAAGATACCCATCTAGCAATTTTGAAATAGTCAGGATGGATGTGCATTTCCAAACCACATTTTGCAGACCTTACAGGAATAGCCTGAGAATCTCTGGAGTGTCGCTGGAATAAAAGACCAACTGATGAGTTCGTAGCAAGAACCACTATGTGTTCTTAGGTGCGTGACACTGCGCTTTATTAAATTTCCTCCAGTTCCTACTGCTGGAACCCTCAAACCTATTCCGCTTTTCCTGCACAATATTTTTGCTGTATTGATAATGCCCCTATGGTGCGTCATCAGCAAATTTTGCTACTGCACTCCTACCTTTTAAGTGAAAATCATTAATGACAATATTAAATAAAGTAGTAGTTTATGCCATGGTATGTTCACCACAATATCTTAAGCACAAATTAGTAAGGGAAATTGCTAAACCTTTGCTTATATTATCATAATTGCTTCAAACAGCTTCATCTTTCACTGGTTCACCAAGTGTTGTAGGGACAGAACAATATCACATCCAGCAACATCTAAGGCTTTATCACAAATTAATAACTTACGTCTTAATATATAAAGCGAATCAATGATACAGCTCAAGTAATTTTTATAAACTGAAAAAGCAGACCAAGAAATCTCAATCTGCAACCCACTCAAAACCTGGGAAGCTGCATCCCTCCACAGCATGTCTGGAAGAACCTTTTATACCTCTTCCCTAAATTAATTTTAATCCAGATACCCATGTGACATTTTGTTTACTTTTTTTTTGTTTGTTTTCATACTAAGCCTTCACTTGAAATTTCTTCACTGAAAGCGTTCCCAAGCATTGGAACAGTCTGCCCAGGGAAGCGGTTGAGTCACTATCCCTGGAGGTATTTAAAGAAGGGCAGACGTGGCACTTAGGGACAGGTTTAGTGGGGGACTTGGCAGTGTTATGTTTAGGTTTGCCTCAATGATCTTAAAGCTCTTTTACAACCTAGATGGTTCTATGATTCTGTGCTCAAAAGCAAAGGATGTCTTTTCAAAACAGCTCCTTCAAGATGTGTTGAATGAGCTTCTCCCCACCACTGGTCCCACTTGTTGCTGGTACCCAGAGTCCTATTCCTACACTGGCAGCCATCGCCAGGGCTGCTTGGCAGCCCCACACACTTGGATTGAGACTGCATGTTTTCTGCAAAATAGTTCTGAATGCACGTTAACTCATCACACCGCTTAAAACACAGGTGCCCTAAGGAAACAGACACTCACTGGTCGACACCTTTTCAGCCACTAACCCAGCCATGCGACTTGTCACCCCTTCAGCACTGATGGCATCTAACCTGATGAGAGCTAAACCGGTCTGAGACGGCGAAGACACCAACGTTCATGGAAGTAAATCATGACCTGCTCAACACAACTGTACTAAAACTGTTTTTTGTTTTTTACACAAATGGTCAGTCTCACAACGGTGAAGCACCAGAGCAACCAGCCACTTTTAAACAGGAGCAGCGACGCTGAACAAAACACCACTTCTCCAGTAGAGCAGGAGGCATTTATTAAAACTGACTGGGAAAAACCAGCAGCTATTTCCTTTTTCAGCCTAAGTCAGTCCAGCAATTTGCGTGCTAATATTAGTTCTCTGTTCACCAATTCCCCTGGCATTAAAAAATTTTTACTTACTTGTCCCTGTCCCCAGAAGGAGGTGACTTAAATTTGCTTGCATTTATTAAAGCTAAGGAAAAGGAGCTACGTACATTTTCAGGGCAGTCCCACAGACAGATGTGTGTCAGGGAGATACTGCACGCACAAGACTGGGTTTATTCTGGGTGTACTAACCAAATTCTGCTCTTGCTTCACTCCATTTATGCTTTTTCATGCTCTCCTGATTTTTATTTATAAAAGCTTAAACTGAGGTTTACACATTTAAGACTTGGTTAACCAAAGCCTTGAGATATTATTTGGGACAGACACAGAGACAGAAGAACATGTAAAGCTACTGCTCTGGTTCAGATATTATTTGGGACAGACACAGACATAGAAGAACATGTAAAGCTACTGCTCTGGTTGAGCTGAGCAGCAGGATTCCAGCGGCTCTGTTTAGAGCCATAATTCTAGTGACTCTGGGCTCAGCTTCTGCGTTTGGAATATTTATAAAAGCAGATGGATGTTACAAAGCTCGTTCAGTGGGCTGAAATCTGGAATTTACACCATAACCAAATCTTCCACCAACTGTGGCACCAGGACGCCGTGCAGCACAGTGAGCTAACCGGGACACCAACAACTGCAAGGGACCAGGGGGCAGAAGCCTGGCTGCTAAACCTGAGCAGATCAATTGCCACCTCTCCAGGGGACACAGGTTACAGCAGGGAATCAGCCAAGAGCAGGCATTCAATGAAGAAGTGCTGAACAGCTTCAAACAGTCCTTATACCCTCTACTTATTAAAATACAAGATATGTAGTGCCACAGCGAGAGCGTTACACTTTCAGATAAATTCTGCATCCCTGTGCATCATGAGCCACGGACCACCGCCAACCCAGGAAAATGTACTGAGGAGGTGTGCCCTCAACATCAGTGGAGGCAAAATTGTTCTACGAAAGAGCGTGAGGCTACCCAGCTGGGCCTTAACCAGGCAAATCGAGACCGAAGCACTATCTCAACACCAGAATGAACGGTAGCCTGCACGCTTGTTCAGGCTGTTCCCATAAAGTTTCACAGGAGCAGATTTTTGACTGGATGGGGTCCCAGCTGTAAAACCTTCTTTGCTGCTGGGGAAAGCCTGCTTTGGCAGCTCTCGCTGAAGGCATCAGCCTCACATGGAGCCACTGCTCCATCTCTTTGGAGAAAGCAAGAGCTGTACAGACAAAAACTGGGTTCTGCCTTTGCTGCCGGGGCACTCACCTCCTCCAGAACGGAGCAAGATGCCAACACACAGCTTCATTTCTTAAGCTGTTGAAGCAAAATCTGCCAGAGTTTGTCTAGTAGAGCCCTTTAATCTGCTACTATTTTTTCCTCAAACCACAGCAACGAGCACATCCCAAGCTACTGAACAGGTTTATTTAATATGCCATGAAACCCATCAGCTCTGTTTCTCCCTTGAAATCTTCAAGCACTCTCAAAATTTTATAGCATTTGGAAATGCAATGAAGAAATTTCTTTGGGCAACTTCCAGTAGGAACACTAAAATGTAGGCAGTGACTCATGTCATCTTTACTAACAGTATACACACTCCAGTGTGATAATTAGTGCTGGCTGGAATTACATGTCACTGATTTCAAACGAAGCCAAATGTGCAACCTTGGAAACACTGAGGAAGCAACACAGGCTTTAAGACGTGAGAATGACACAGCACCATTTCCTACCACAAGCCCGAGGGGCTGGTACTTATCATTTCTCAGGTTGTTTACCACTTCTCCCTCCACCAGTCAACACTCGTGCACATGGCGATGAGACTGTTGGGATTTAACAACAGTTAACTAAGGGAAACAGCAGCAGGTGATGTGCATGGTGCTTTTTGCAAATGCAAGCTCTACGAAGAAGAGTGTTTTGGAATCTGTTTTTAATAAAACAGGGTTTAGATAGAACATGCAGTTTATCTTATTTGAAAGCTGAAGTTACTCTGCACATACTAGCTCTCTTGAAAGAGTATACCCAATGCAGAAGCATCGAACAGTAACAGGCTTACGTGAAGGAAGGCAGAGGTGCTACCAGAATGCTGCAAAAATCATTCTTGCATCCTAGCAAGACCTTGCATTTCATCTAAATGGGGGGAGGAAAAGAGCAACCTGGTCCTGGTTTCTTCACAACACCTTAAAGATAATAGGCTAAGATGATTGAAGGTGGATGGAGGAAAAGCCTTGACCTTGCTTATTATCTTCTCATTTTGCCAAGATGACTATCCTAACACAAAACCAGGAAAAAGTAAATTCAATTCAAGATGTTAGACATGTAGTTTGTCTCCAAAACTGGTGCTTTAATTGCCCTGCAGGTCACAAATACATAATGAAGTTGGCATTGATTTCTGTTACAATGATCTCATCACATCTATAATTTAGGATTCCATTTCACAAAATAAACTTGTTATTGTTCTATATCCTGCACTAATATGGTTCTTAAATGTATCAACAGAGGTCAGGAAAAAGCACGCTGGCTACATATGAAGGAATTGTGTTTCAATTCTAACGAGGCCACATCAGCTTTACACAAGATTTGCTCCTCCTTTTGGCACTTAAGCAACTTGCAAGTTCAAGGGACCTCCATAGGAGGACAATTCTTTATTTAAACTCTTTATTTAAATTTAAACCCTTGAAATTATTTGTTTAAAGAGCAAGCGCAACAAAGAGGAAGATGAATACAAAGGAAAGAAGACAGCAAAGGTGATTCAAAGGCATAGATCTAAGATCTCTCACCAAAAAAAAATAATTATTTTAAACCAAAATACTTTGATTCTTAAATCTGTTTATTGCTTGCATTTCAGCATTGCAGTACTCAGCTCTCAAAACTCTGAAGTTAGTTTTTTATTCCTGAAAAATCTAATATTGTCTTTTTCCAATACCTGTAAATACTTAAAAAAAAAAACAACTTTGCTTTTAAGCCTTGTTTCCTGTTTAATCTTTTTTAACAGACCTTCTCACCTATGCAGAATGGATGCAGCAGCAGTAAATGCCCTTTGCAATCACAACCCCAACCCTGGTACCAGGGAGGACGGCTGGTACCAGACCCACTAATGGTTCTGCAGTAGATTCTGAGGGGAATAATCTATGGGAAACCAAGGCATTTCCATGAGCAGATATGGTGACTTTTTTGTGCTCACGTGAACAGAAAAATTGGAGCAAAGAACATTACTAGAAAAGTTTGAGAAACAGCTTATTACTGTGCATTCCCCGTGTCTCAGATTCTAATGCGAAGGGAGGGAAGGAAGAGAAAATTCTGAAGACAGAATTTATGTAAAATCTTTTGGGAAGCAGGATAAAGCAAGGCAACTACTCTATCTGCTTAAGGAAGATGGTTTGCTACCAGCCTCATCCCAAATTATCACCAGAGAATTTAAAGTCCTTCTAACCCAAAGCTCACAAGCAAGAAGTCTATAAAAAAACCCCCAAAAAACCCCAACCAAACAAAAAAAACCCCAACCAAAAACACAAAATGGACAACACCAAAGTGAAAAATAATGACAGGAAGCTGGTCAGACTGTATCTCACAATCTTCATTAAGATCACCACCTCTCACATGCAAAGCATCAGGAAATATTAGGCAGCAGTGAGATAATGAGATGTAAAATTTAGCTTCTCTAAAGGACCACAAATACAGCTTGTGGGCCATTAAATCCATTGTGCTCCTCTTACTAGCTGCTTCTCCAGCAATGCAAACACTCACATCCCTCAGGTCAGACACTCTGGCACACAGTGCACCAGTGTGCCAGTTAGGAATCTAATCAGATCAAAACATATCATGGTAATACAAAAGTGGCTATTTTTTGAACTCTACCCTTTCACATCAGAGTAAAATACTTTTTCTTCAGACTGGCAGAGAGCTCCAGAAAAAGTTTCCCATGGATAATAAATAACTTAATTGGCAACATATTCCTCAAAATATTCCTTTCACTTTCGAGCAAGAAACTCTGATGGTTCTAACTTTTGGGGAGATAGAGCAAGTAAAATTGTTATATTCTGTATTTAGTTCCTAAACTGGCAAACTATTTCAGGGACTCCTTATTTGTTTATAATCTGTAGGATTTGGGGGGGGATTTTTTGTTTGTTTTTTAATATCTGCAGTGCTTCTGTGACTGGGTAATGAACTGTCTTCTGTATCGATATGATGCAACACCACACATATTCTTGCTCAGAGGGCTTTAGTGTAAAGCTTTTTCGGATCCTCAAACGATTTTTAAACAAGCCACTGACCCCCAGAAATTCTTGCTCAGAGGGCTTTGGTGTAAAGCTTTTTCGGATCCTCTCCCGATTTTTAAACAAGCCACTGACCCCCAGACTATAGATCTCATCCTGTATTTGCCAGCCAACTATTTTAATCACCCATTTAACGAGCCTAGGTATTACACACGCCTCTGAAGTCAAGTTACCAGGCCTGTCTGGGGAAAGAGATCTGACCTATTACCCCCCTCACATGACTGGTATTTTTGCTAGCTGTCTTCCTGTCTGCACTCTTCTTTAGGACACACAGATTCTTTCACCGATCACCTCAAAAGGACTGAAAACCCAACAGACAGACTCAGTAAGTAACCCAACAGTCTCGGATGCCTGACTGATTCAGAGCTGTCCGCAATTCCCATCCCGAGATGATTAGAGTGCTCTGCAAACTGAGATTAATTTATTCTCATAATGTCCTTTCACAGAAGAAAGTGTCATTCTGATTTCCTTTTCAGGTGGGAAACTGAGGCACAGGAGAATGAGATCATTTGCCCAACATTAGAGGAGCAAAGAATGATTCAACCTGATCTCCTCTCCTGAGGGCTGGCATTCCAAGCACCTGACCAAGGAAGAAATGATAAAAACAAAGACTTTGTATCTTGGAAGATGAGGGGATCCAACAGAACTCCAGTGTTCTTCACTTGCTTATTCAGTTGCACTACAGTTCTGATAATATAAACTGTCTGCCAGCAAATCTTCATGTTCCATGACTTGGAAATACCCAAGCACCCGTATTTGTAGATTTCCTGCGCTGACTTTCCCAAGTAAAATTTGCCACTGGACAAAGAGGTTTTTTTTCTTTCTCCCTATCCAAATGCAGTAAAAAGGTGGCTGGTTTTATCACAGTTCAACTTCTAGAATGACATTAATAAAAGCAATCCAATACAACAGATGAATCGCAAAGTACCAGCTACTGCTCTGCCTCAGCACTCATCAGTGCAGGTGAAATGCGGAACCTCAGAGCTTCTATTAATGCAGACTTTTAGACTGTACAAATGTTTGCATATCATCACCTGTCATATATTCACAGGGCAATCTATTTTTAAAAGCCAAACACAGCATATGCAATCCCTTTTTGCCTTCTGAGCAAAAAGAAAAACTCCATTAAAAAAATGTGTTTGCTATAAAGCCAGTTCTGACAGCAGAAGCTGTTTCACCTGAAAGGTGTAAGACTAGCTACAAAAGAAACAGTTCTAACAGGACTTCCCTGCACCATGACCACATCCAAAACTAAGTTTACTATCATAGAAAACAATTTCTTTACTAAATAATGGTGCTCACGTAAATCACGAGCATACAGGCTTCAGTACATGTTAGGGGAAGACAGTCACTTGCGTATCATTACAATGTGCCTTTTAAAAATAGAGCATTTATTCTTGCAATGCCTGGAGTTAAAACACTGCCATCTATCAGGCATGTTTCAATCAACATGCGTCGCTCCCGCACGCAGAAGTGCACGTTCTCATCCATGCAGGAGTTTCCTGCTGTGTGTTCAGCTCTGGCTCTTTACAAGGCACATACACTCTCTTGCTGACGCTTACATACAGTGCCCAGCGCTGAAGTTTTGGCATCCCAGACCATTTTTCCACCTAACAAGCCGGTATGTAAACTATGCCACGTTACCTTTGGGCAGGTAATCTCAGTCTGCTGGATCATGATAAGGGCAGATGCAATCAGAGCTCCTTGACGTACATAGTTCACAGGATCATTTGTCATTGGCTCAAGCAAATTAATTGCTTCCTAAAAAAAACACCCAAGAAATAAGCAGTCACAAAGTTAATATTATTATTCTTAGTATCCCAGGATTCAGTACTCTGAACTGAACACTTATCAAACTGATGCTATCAGATATACTTTTAAATGTATTTTGCCTGTTCTTGGTAAATGAAGCAGAAATCTGCATTTCTGTGGATTTCAATCTAAAAATCGGGAAGAAAAAAACCCCACAAAACCCAAGCGATAGATGGAACAAGATATACCTGCAGAAATAGGGCAACAGATAAACAACAGCTGTTGTAAGCAACAGACGCATTCATCACATCAGAACTAGCGACATGCCTGAAGTAGTACACACACATTATACACTTTCTCTGCCTTTCTTTCCAACAAAATACATCAGCGTTACCTTAATTTTCTGCATAAGGAACAAATGAACCAGAGATATCAAACAACACGTTGGAGATTAGAAAATGAGATGGCAAAACAATCCAGGTCCCAAATTCTTGGCCCTACATTATATTGTTAGAACCTATAAGCATTTAGCATCATATGAAAGCATTCATTTCAAACCTATGTCAAGTGGGGCTGCCTCTGAGCATCCATACAGTAAATTTAGGTTTTGAAAACATTTCAAAATGCTCTATTGCTTCTTCAAATTCAGTAACTTCCCAGCTAAGTGCAACAGGAACATGACCCACGATGATCTATCAATAGCATTCCTTTCAACGCAGCCATTGATTATGAAAAGCTATAACAGAGTCTATCGTAATCAATGCTGCTTAGATGTACCCAAGACCAGCATGTGCAATTTGCTGGCATCTCAGACTAAATCATATCTTTAGGCACATTTTTTCATCTCCACTTAAGAGTTCTGCCACTTTGCAAGCCGTGACTTAAATATACATAGAATTATTACAGGCACAAATTCATTTCTAAGCGTGCAAGGTCCTCAGCACAGATTAGACAGGACAACAGAGCTCATCTAAACTCACAAAACAAAGATGAGATCCCTCCTCTTCTTCAATTTCCTTCAGCTATCCAGTCCCTCCCCCTTCCCTGTGCTAGCTGCAGCCCTTGTCTCACCTCTCAGTGAGCTTTTCCAGCTCAGTAATTCAAGAGAGAACTGTTCCCTTTTTTATCTGGGTCAGTTTGCTGTGAGTTTGTGTCTGGATCAGCTCACTAGGGAGCTTGACATGAGACAGAGCAAAAGGTGGCAGGAGTGATGAAGACTACCTGTTTCAACAGCAGCAAGTTATTAGTGGGCTCAGCCAGCCTTCACCAACCAGCTCTTCAGATCTAAGCAGAACAAACCCAAGGTAGCAGCAGTTTGTACAGCCATGGGCTGCACAGATAAATTGGGTCTGCGGCAACACAAGGGCTTTCTAAAAGCTGTGAAGCAAGCTGTTAGATACTCTTTGGAACAGGAGAGATAACAGTGAGACAGCCATCCTAAAAAGCTCAAAGAGCTCTTTTAATCTATTTTGTGATCTTCTGATTACTCAGCCCAGATACAACCACGGGGCAATCTCTTGTATGGAGCTCTCTCCTGTCCATACTTAAACCGAGGACATGAACAAACACGAGTGCACGATTCTCCCAGCACAGACCCCTCTCTGTGTTACTTCTGTCAGGGTGAGGCTTTCAGAAACAAGCTGATTTTATACAAAACACTATTTCTAAGAACAACTTCTAGAATAACATCATGCCTTTGCTTAGACTGCTTTTGCCAACTGAGCTGTCTAGGAGGCTGTGCTTCTCCACCTGAAGGTGACTCATTCATTCTTTGGCACACATTCAATCCCATGTATGGAACATCCACTACGACAAAAAGCTGAACTTTTCCATCTCCAAAGCTGAATATATTTGGGCCTTCAAAACCTACTAATATAAGCCCCAGAAGACACATCTGCATGTAATCAGACAGTTTAGGTCTTTATCACACAATGTATCTGGAAATAAAACAGACTGCTTTGGGAGACTCAAAACGTTTCCATTTAAATCAGCTTGTCAGATGCAGCAGGTTAAAAACAATTAGCTCCTTGATTCCACCTTCCACTTGAGAATAAATCAGCTTGGATAAAAGTAGGGCTTTCAGTTTGCTTTCAAGTCTGCGTGCCTCAGATACTGAAGGCGGCAGGCAGCGCATGTCAACATTCTGTGCGTTCAACACCACCACTGACATGCTGGGGAGCGCTCACTTGCAAGAGCCACAGACCAACTGTTTAACACTAGCTGAGGAAGGGTTTAGATAAAGTGTGAGATTTATCAAAGACTCAGAAGCATGAAGCATTCCTTCCACATGGACAGTCTGTGAACCTGTTTTGAAACCGTGGTTCAGTATCAGTACAGACTATATACACATGTGGGTGAAGCAGAGGAAGCCTATCCTCAAGTTTACTTGATGCTTGTCCCAGTGAGGGCTCATTTCTTTTGAAACTGTGGTTCAGTATCAGTACAGACTATATATGTGGGTGAAGCAGAGGAAGCCTATCCTCAAGTTTACTTGCTGCTTGTCCCAGTGAGGGCTCATTTCACACAGAAGTGGGAATCCTTCTACTCTAAAAGGTCCCTGCTATCGTCTGTGAGAGTCATCCCTCACTGACACTTATAAAGCAAGAATAAAAATTACTGGCTGTGAATTATACACCTGAAACTACAGTAAATTTCAGTGAATGTCATTGCACTCTGCTTCACTACATGATCTTCCATGAATTGTTTATTACAGAAAAGCAGAAAGGAGCTAGAAGTTACACAAAACACCTGCTGTTTTCCTGTCACTGGCACCCCCCTGCTCCCCCTAAAGCAGTCTGTACAAGATCAACTCCAAGGGCAAAGGAGTATTCATTTTGGAGTACTGAACACACATTTAAAGTTCAGTGGCAACTTGACAGTAAGAAAACTCTAAGAAAGTTTTGAAGACAAAATTCCAAGAATGTGGCAATAATGTATAAAAACATTCTTCTACTTGATCTATTCTGTACAAGCAGGAAAAGAATTGTTATGCCCAAGACAGTTAAAGAATTTAAAGAAGTACTGCTCTACTCCAGCTGGCTAGCAGTGTGTATGTGTGAGAAATCTGATCGGTGACATTTCTGCACAAACGTCTCTGTGGTAGGAGAGAGCAGAAACAGTTTTGGTAACAGATGCTGCTGGTCCTCACCTTGTTTCCAGTGCCCGCACAGCAGATACCCAAAGCCATGGCAGCCCCATAACGCACATGGGGATTGTAGCTCTCTGACAGCAAAGAAACCACGCTCGGACACTGCTCAGGAGTCCTAAAGAAAGGCAAAAAAAGAATATTTATTATTATTATTCTTGTTTAAAATATGGAGACTTCACTCTGTTCATACTGGAAACTTTAAAACTGCCCTTCCACACTGTATGTTTTGCATTTTTCAAATTGCAATCAGAGGGGTAGAACAAATGGACTAAGAAGAGAACAGGGAAGGGCACAAATGAATAAGCTTCCCTATCACTTCAGATATCACACAGTTCCCACTACTAAATAGTGCATATTTTCTGCCTTTAAAAGATTACCCAGCAGCATGATATATCTACTGATATTGAGGTCTCTATCTCTAGAAATCATGCTGCTGTGACAGACTTTCCACTAGCAGAGGTTTACTCTCCATGAGAAACAAAGTACTAAATCTCCCATCAGCAGACACAAAACCCAGCTCCCGTACTCAATCAGCCTTCAAGGTTGGTGGGTCCCAAACTCACTTTGGCAATCACGGCTTCTGCTGACTCCTCCTCACCCCCGCCTGCTGCTGTAAATCAAAGCATGTGAGGAATGCTGACACAACACAGCTTCCAACCAGCGTACCAGCACCCTCCACTGCTGCCTCCTTACAACACCATACCGCGAGGCTGTTGCCTTTTAAGAGACCTGAGAAGGGAGCATACGCTCCATGCCTCACCTGCTGGGAACCAGTGTCCTGCTGGTCATTACACCAGAGCTTCTACCCAGCGCTATGTGAGGTGAAAGGGAACCCTTAAATTTCCCACAGCAAGAAGCACGTGCTGCTAATGCAAACAGGCTTGTGACTATTGAGTATTTCTGAAGTAGGGCAGAACTCGCTTACAGGTACAGATATATCGATTTCCCTCCTGTCTTTGTAGTAGTATTTATCACTCTTATTTTTCATGCCACACAAACCACTTCATAATATTGTACCCTGCCAATTTCAGCATTTCTAATGCAGCAAAGGCAATGTTGTTTGTAAAATAAGCATCTTTGTGTCAGACAAGTCTGCATTCTGAACTCATAGGCATCACAGGCACATCCATCACAGCTAATCTGTTAAATTTACCCAGTCTCATGACACCATAAACATAAGAGCAATGCAGGAATCCGGTTTGGAAGTACATGCTCATGAAAAAAAGATAGGAAACTAGAAATTGCAAGTGATTTAATTACAGCAGCCCAGACTAGCTTTTTAATTGTCACATTCACAATCCCAAAAGCAGTCTTGCAAGCCATTTACTTTGACTATAAACTGATTTCAGATTGAAATGTACAAAGGAAGAGCCAAGAACACCTTTGTTTTCACTTTCCTTCTTACATTTGCTGCACTGGAAGATGGAGGCTGGAGGGTGGCGGCAGTGCCTGTTGTACACAGGAAACACGGCATCGTGCCTGTCTATCAAAGCACTCAACTACTCAAGAGGTAGAAAAAACATTATAGATTACGCTCCAGCATTAGTTTTATTTAAATGAATACCCGACTCATAGAAAACAGAAGTAAAAAAGACCCGAAGCAACAATCTAGTTCGTTCTGTTCTTTCACTGCGACTGGGGACAGGAGGCACACTCATGCTTCAGTTGTACTCCACACACAGAATCAGTTCATTTCTGCTCCAGCTATTATCTCTTCCCATTTCAACACTTTCCCGTAGTCTCTGATAACTAGTCCTAAACTCCACTTTACACCCCTCTTTCCTGCTCCAGTTTATTGCAGACAGGCTCCAGTGCTGCCTCGAGTGCTGCTGAAGGGACCTAAAGGCACCCAGGTTTCAGAGGTGACCCAATCCCTCGGCAGTACCCAGGTCTCCTGCCTTGCCCCTGCTTCCAGCAGTCTGTTTCTTTACGAGTTTTTCTAAAACATCCACATGGGGAAAGAATCCCATCTACCACCACTACCTTACCAAAAAAAAAAAAAAAAAAAAAAAAAAAAAGTAAAAAAACCAGCACACCACAACCTTCCAAACAGCAGGGAAAAAAAAAAAACCCCACATAAAAGAAGAGAGGAACAAACACGAAGTTGCTGGAAATGCTGCTGCCTTGAAGGTGCAGCCGTGATGATAAATGTTATGAAAGGGGGGAGACCTGGGAAACGGAACAATTCTGTCCTGCAAGGAAGCAGTAGAAGGGAAGCCTGTAAACTAAGACACCTCCTGTCAGTGTGCTGCTCCAATAACAGCTTGGATGCTGACGACGTTTTCTTTTAAAATGAGCTCATGCGGAGACCAGGAATCACAAATCCTATAATAAATGAGCCCAAGCATTCAGCTGCACAGAAGACTTTAGCTCTTGCACAAAGACTCTTAACACCTTTGTGTTTGCTTTACTTCAGCAAATGTTGAGCAGGCAGATTGTGAGCCAAAGAAGAGAAAAACATCTTCTGGAAAAGATGTGATTATGCACTTCGAAGCGTCACTCATTAAATTCCTGTTCAGAAAGCTGGATTTTCTAGAATCATTAACTTGGACACATCTTTGTGTCTGCAGGCTCAGAAATTCAACACAGTTTTTATTATAAGATCAGGATTAATGTACACTAATTGGTTACGGAATTCTTGGCCAGATTTACATTATCTGTAGCCATTATTTTAGATGCTTTTATCTCAAATTATCCATAAAATGGTCAAAACATTTTGACAAGGGGCCCTCTGTAAATGCACTCTGGGAGTTGAAGATACTTCAGGGGTCCCACCACTTTCCCCAGTAACAGAGTCTTCTCGACCCTGAAATCTTCAAAAAGTGTCTTGCCACATAATAGAGAACTAAAAGGCAGGACCATAAGTGGGGAGAGGAAGCTGAAGAGCCTTGTAAAAATGCTCATCAGAGGAACAAGACTTCAGCATATACAAGAGCACTGTTGGCATCAATGCCTAAGCTGTAACATTTGCTTCCTCGCTCTATGGTCGAGACGCTTTACAAAGTTTTACAGACTGTTGCCAAAGATTGGCCCATATAAATCCAAAATGACACTTAGTAAAATTCATAAAACGCAAAATAATTCTGTCAAACGATCAGAAGAAAAATTAAAGAGCCCTCATAAGCAGTTACAGGCTGCAGTTGTGCTCCCGTGGCATTACTTCCAAAGGTAATCCAGTTGGGGAATACGTTTAAAACACGACCATGTTCTCCTCCCGCTGGCCTGAGGCTTTCACCCTTCGCTTAGAGGACAGCCACACGAGCTGCTGACTTGACATCAGCACAATGGAGGGGCAGCCCTGCTGCCGACCGAGGGTTTCCACTCCACTGGTGCTAAGCCCCACCAGGTTCCCAAACCACATCCACCCCCTTGGCTCCCTGCGGGAGACCTCCACCACCCTGCTGTGCTGGTGGCTGGAACAACGTGGTTATTGGGGAGAAAGCTCTGGTGGGAGAGGGAGAGAAGTAACAAAGAGTGTGAGAAAACAGAAAAACAGTACTAAAAAAAAGATAAATGGTTTATCAGAAGTCACACTCAGCAACAGACTACTCTCAGTCCTAATACGGCCATCTGTTGTTATTCCAAGCTAAACACAGTCGATAACATCACATGAAATACCAGGACAACATCTGAAGATTTAGTGGGCAGGAGTTTCATCTCCAGACACAAATTCCCCATCTCCTTAAATGTCATAGTAAAAATTCTAAACCTGGAGCATGTTTAACATATTTTTAGGACAGAAGCAATGTACCATGGTCCTCCAGCCTGACCTTGCCGTAGCAGCCATTTCATCTAAAAATTTCTACATTAAAGACTGAGGCATGTCTCTAAACGGGGTGTATATTGTAGAAAGCTAGTCTGGTTTTTAAAAATAGGTATTGCCTAGCTTTAATGTACTGGTTCCTTCCCTTCTTCCTAACACAGGTTTTGCTCAAGCAGTTTGCTTTTGCCATTACATTTTACTACAACAGCAGAATGACAGCAGAAGAACAGCCTGATTATTTCCTTCTTTTTCATCTGAAAATTGCTCAACTGCTCCTACGTAAGCCATCAAAACAGACGTCACTGAACCCAGACCCATGTACAAAAAAACCAGCGTCACAACTAGCTTCAACTTTGCTCTCTCTGTTACCAGGAAACTAAATAAATCAAGAAGCCTAAAAAGCCTCTAAGCTTCTCCTACAGGACTTCTACACAGCGGTCAGCTCCAGCTGTGTTTCCACCCTACACCACGGTACGTTTCGCTGTTGTGATACATGGGCTGCAGATGAAGGAATGCCTCCCAGATCCAGTTTGTTTGTTTCAAGAATTCATTAGCAAAACCGTAAAGAAAAATAGATACACCAAGAGAGTCATGAGAGATTCTCAGCTAAACATAATAGCTAGCACTTTATTATTTTTACTCACCAACTGGTTGCTCTCAAAACCTTCACGAGAGACAAACACCCTGTGTGGCTAAGAATTTTGAATCTTCACTGAAACAGAACCAGAGAGAACACAAAGGAACTGCTGAACTCCTACTCAATGACCTTAGCCTTAGCCTCAACTTTGATCTCATTCCTGGGGATGTTAATCTCCTGGACACAATTAAATATAAGTGACATGTATATAAATACTGTATTATAAAAAGTTGATATTTAGCTTCTAAGCGCCCAAGAATTTCTGAGAAACCAGAGAAAGTTTTGGATTCTTTATTACTTCCAAAGAGAGAGGAAATAAAGTTTTTCTTAAACCTCTAGTGCAAAAATTCACAAAACAAAACCCAGGAAATAGACTAACAGAGACCAATATGAACAAAACCACCCAGACCAGCTGGACACAGAAGGTGGCCAGTTTTCCTTTCAATCCATGATGTTGACCATGGAACGTTCTCCATAGTTTGTAGCAAACCCTGAAATTGTATTTCCTGTTCACTATGAACCATTTCTTACAGCAGGTCTATTAGGATCTGTAAGGTACCTAAACTGAGCCTTTTTCTGAAGGTAATACACAACGGCAACATCTGCAGACCTGTAATTCTTTGTAGGCTTTGCCCACAAGAGCCTTATTGAGCTACTGAAAGTTGAGGAACACCGTTAGGTACATTGACTCTGTTTGACAATCCACTTGAATCTTTTTTTCCAAGAAGC